TGAGGTGAGGGATAAGTGGAAGGAAAAATGGGGATATATGTAATATTTTCAACAATAAAGATTAAATAATATATCTCTGCTCAGCTGGTGTTGCTCAGTGGGTGATCATCAACCTGTGAACCAGGAGGTCATGATTCAATTTCTGGTCAGGGCACATGCCTGGTTTGTGGGCTTGATCCTGGGGGAATGGGGGAAGTGCAGGAGGCAGCAGGTGATTATTGATTCTCTCTCATCATTGATGTTTCTCTCTCCTACTACCTTCCTCTCTGAAATCAATAAAAAAATTTTAAAAAATTAAAAAATCTGCCGAAACCGGTATGGCTCAATGGATAGAGCATCGGCTTGGGGACTGAAAGGTCCCGGGTTCGATTCCGGTCAAGGGCATGTACCTTGGTTGCGGGCACATCCCCAGTAGGGGGTGTGCAAGAGGCAGCTGATCGGTGACTTTCTCTCATCAATGTTTCTAACTTGCTATCTCTCTCCCTTCCTCTCTGTACAAAATCAATAAAATATATTTTAAAAAAAAATTAAAAAATCTCTGATTTAGTTAACTAGTCCTTTAAATTCTACAGTTATTTATTTAAAAGAAAATGGAAGCTACAGACCAATAGTATACAATTAAGTAAAAAAATTAAAATCCCTCTTTCTAATCTCTAAATCACCCCAGCTGATAGCACAATTTCAAAATTACAACTAAAAGACAAAATGGACATTCCAGAACCACAGGAAGGCTGGCTGAGTGGACATTCTACAACTAGAAGGAAAGAGAAAAGCATACTGAGACTCAAAGGAGCTGCAGGAGGCAGAGGTACTGAGAAACGCGGTGTGGAGAGGACTGGCAACTGAGTACACAGCTGGCTTTCTCAATTGAGAGGAAGACAAAAGCTCCCAACTTCGCTGAACTCCGATTCCGGGTGAGACTCTGGGAACCCAGACTTATATAGGGTGAAATTGGACTGTCAAGAAAGAGAAAAACACAAAGACTCAGAGGAACTGTGGATGGCAGAGGTACCGAGGAGTGTGCACTGACAGTGCAGGTAACTGACTACACAGCTGGCTTTCTCAAGCTTGAGGGAGACAAAAGCTCCCTGAACTCCAGTTCAGGGCGAGACTCTGGTGATCCAGACTCATTTGGGGAGAAACTGGACTGTCTGGAAGTGAGCGGAATTCGAGGGCGGCTTTCTCTTAGAGGTGCTTGCAGCAATTACCACGGGACACTGAGACCCAGGGGCCTATTAGGGAAACGCTGATGAGAAACCAATGCTGTCTGCTCCGGCCCATCCAAGCTGAGGACAGAGGCTTTTGCACGTCCTGTCTCACAAGTGTGTCTCCAGCACAGACGTTCTCCCATCATGCACAGCTGATCATCACAGCCAATTGGCTGGAGGTCAATCCCTCCCAGTGATAAAAACAATCAAGGCTTAATTAAAACAAGACTGTGCACACAGCCTACAAAGGAGTGCAGATAACTGGGGAGGCTGAGCCACCGGGCCCTATAGAACACCTAGCAGATAAAGCCACTCTATCAATTCAGGGAAGCAGCAAAAATACGGAATCAAAGAAACAGATTACAAATGAAAGAAATGGAGGAAAGCATCGGCTGGATATAGAGTTCAAAATCACAGTTATAAGTTTTTTCAAGAATTTTCTAGAAAAGGCCGATAAATTTAGTGAGATCCTCAAGGATATGAAAAAAGAACAACTAGAAATTAAGCATACACGATTGAAATAAAAAAATATTATACAGAGATCCAACAGCAAAGTAGAAGAACACAAGAATAAAGTCAAAGATCTGAAATACAAAGAAGCAAAAAACACTCAACTGGAAAAGCAAAAAGAAAAAAGAATCCAACCGAAACCAGTTTGGCTCAGTGGACAGAAGGATGGCCTGCAGACTAAAAGATCCCAGTTTGATTCCAGTCAAGGGCATGTACCTTAGTTGCGGGCACATCCCTGGTAGGGGGTGTGCAGGAGGCAGCTAATCAATGTTTCTCTCTCATCGATGTTTCTAACTCTCTATCCCTCTCTCTTCTTCTCTGTAAAAAATCAATAAAATATATTAAAAGAAATAAAAAAGAATCCAAAAATATGAAGATAGTGTAAGAAGCCTCTGGGACAACTTCAAGCCTACCAACATCAGAATTATGGTGGTGCCAGAAGAAGAGAGAAAGCAAGATACTGAAAAGCTATTTAAAAAAATGACAGAAAACTTCCCCTACCAGGTGAAAGAAATAGACTTATAAGTCTAGGAAACGCACAGAACCCCAAACAAAAGGAATCAAAGAGGACCACACTAAGACACATCATAATTAAAATGCCAAGAGCAAAAGGCAAAGACAGAATATTAAAAGCAGCAAGAGAGCCGAAACCGGTTTGGCTCAGTGGTAGAGCATCGGTCTGCAGACTGAAAGGTCCCAGGTTCGATTCTGGTCAAGGGCATGTACATTGGTTGCAGGCACATCCCAGGTGGGGTGTGTGCAAGAGGCAGTTGGTTGATGTTTCTCTCTCATCGATGTTTCTAGCTCTCTATTCCTCTCTCCTCCTCTCTGTAAAAAATCAATAAAATATATTAAAAATAAATAAATAAATAAATAAAAACAGCAAGAGAAAAACAGTTAGTTACCTATAAGGTGACACCATATGACTGTCAGCAGATTTCTCAACAGAAACTATGCAGGCCAGACAGGAGTGGCAAGAAATATTCAAAGTGATGAATAGCAAGAAGCTACAACCAAGATTACTAAAAAAAATTATCTTATAGTCTCAAAGTTTACTATGCATTTACCATGCTACATATCCAAAGAGCTCAAGAAATCCCAAAGAAGATAAACACAAAGAGAACCATATCCAGGTATATCACAGCCAACTGCTCTAAGCTCAAGACACAACAATTCTTGAAAGCAGCAAATAGAGGATAACAATATAATTAACTAGAGGCTTGGTGCATGACATTCGTGTGTGTGTGGGGGGGGGGGGTCGGGGGGGGGGTAATATGGGAAAGAGCCAGGCCTGAGCCCTTCAGCAGTCTGGAAGCCCTCAGGGTATGTCTGACTGACAGCTGCGGTGAGTGGGCCTAAACTGCAGTCAGACATCCTTAGCACTGCTGCGGAGGTGGGAGAGGCTCCCATCACTGTCATTTGTGCTTGCCAGCTGTCTGCCTGGCTTGTGGCTGAGCGGCGCTCCTCCTGTGGGAGCACAGTGACCACCAAGGGGCAAATCCTGCGTTGAGGGTCTGCCCGATGGTGGTCAGTGTGCATCATAGTAACTAGTCATTCTGCCATTCGGTCAATTTGCATATTACCCTTTTATTATATAGAATCGCTGCCTTCTAACTTCCATTTTTGTCTTTTTAAAATTTTATTTCAGAGGAAGAAATGTATATTTCTACACATATACATTTGTAGAAATTGCCAAACTTCATTAAAGTGTTTGCAAGAGTTTATACTATTGTACTATATTCTCACTCAATTACCAAATCTTTACTTCTTACCAAAATGAAATGTAAAAAGGACTTTAAAAAAACTTATTTTGCCCTAGCCAGTTTGGCTCAGTGGGTGAAGCATTGGCTTGCAAACCAAAGGGTTCCGAGTTGGATTACAGTCAAGGGTATGTAATTAACTGCAGGCTCCTCCAACTGCCAGGGACTTGGGTGGGGCAGGTGCAGGAGGCAACCAACTGATGTGTTTCTCTCACATGTTTCTCTCTGTCTTTCCCTAAAAGATCAATGAAGAAATAGCCTCAGGTGAGGATTATCAACAAAAAAGTTATTTTATCTGCCCTGGCTGGTATCTTCAGTGGTTAGAGCATTAGTGTGCACACTCAAGTGTCATGGGTTCGAGCCCCACCTCTAGTCAGGGAACATGAAGGAGTTAATGTGTCTCTCTCACATTGATGTTTCTTCTATCTCCTCTTGCCCCCCACTCCCTCCCTGTCTCCACTCTCTAAAAATGAATGGGAAAAATACTCATAGGTAAGGATTAAAAAAAAAAAAAAGTTTACTCTAATTTTGATTTACATTTACTTAAGTAAGTATGTTAGCTATTGTTTATAACCATTTCCATTTCTTTCACTATGCAATCATTTAAATTTCTTTCATTGTGAACTGCTTTTTCATGCTCTCTCCAAAGAATTATTTTACTGATTTGTAAAAGCTCTTATGATACTAACCATATTTATTTTAGCTGTTGGAAATATATTTTCTCCATTTCCCATCTAGTCCCCCTCCCAAATGAAATTATATAAAACAATAACCTTCTTAACCACATCTCACAGCCCAAACAGTACCGATTCAGGAATTAACCAACTTGGTTGGGACTTTACCCCAGGGTAAGGAACTATTGAAGTTTCTTTCTCCCTTTCACAAGGATAATAATTATCCAACAGCCTTCAGCTGCAGTGCTCTTGGGGGCTGTAGCAAAATTCCAGCAATGACTGAACATAGTAATGGTATCAGGGCCTGACTGTTTCTGCTTATTTAGGCATTACTCTGTGCTCGATCTGTGTTTGAAATGATGCTCCTCATGGGACTTCAGAAGACTCACTACTGCATCACAATCTGAATTTTTCCTACTGAATATCCCCTTTCTTCTTTTACTCCCTTAATAGGTATCAGACCAGCATAAAGGTGTGTCTATTCCTATTTTTTCTCCACTTTATCCTGCACAAATGCTATCCCACAGTAAATATCTTTCTCTTTTAACTCTATCTTGGCATCTGCTTTCCAAAGGAACTCACTCAACTGAAACAATGACATTTCAAATTCCAAGGTTTACTGAAATCTAACTATCATGCATTACCAAGTTTACCAGAATGGTGACTGGGCATTAAACTAAGTTTAAAATGGGCCCGTGTACTACTACAAAGGAATGTAGATTTGAAAATCTCCTCAGACTTTAAAAATTCAACCTCCTTTACATTTACCTAAGTAAGCATGTTAGCTATTAACTTGGTTGAATCAACTAGTCAATATTTAACATGCAGAATCTACCAAAAATACTTACATTACTGTGTTGTCATCCACTAATATATCACAACCGTGAGCAGGACACGAAATAGTCTGAAAAAGGTTGAAATTTAAACTGTTTTCATTCAACAAATATTTATTGAATGCTTATCATCGTAAGGCACTTGACTAGGTTCTAAGGATACTGGATACCTCAACATTTATAGGATCTTAATCATTCCCTTTCTATTAAAGGAAATGTATATATATGATTGTGTTTATCAATATAAGGCAAGCATGTCAAACTCACGGTCCATATGGTCCACAATGAATATTTTTGCGGCCAAGCCAATGTAGCAACGTTTTAATAAAAATTTTGTAACTTAATTTTTACAGTAATTATTAATAATGAACTACAACGTTCACTAATGATTGATTACTATAATTGTGTTGCATTCATTTCCCTTACATGCAGGTGCACCATTTCTCTCCACTAATACAAGCAGGCAATATTTTAGCAACCGAATGCCATGTCATTAGTCTTGTACTGACTTGTTTGGTGTGCACAACAGAAAATATTCCACTTTCGGAGAATAAGAAAAATAGGCTTATTTGCATTACGCTTATTAATTTGTACAGTTTTTCAGTGTCTGGTAAGTTAATGTTCAAGAAAAAATATTAATTTTTATTAAAATATTTTATTATTTTATGTTAATGATTACTCATTTATTTCAGCCCTTTGTATTCAGCAAGTCTGTATCGAAATAAACCTATGTTTCTATGAAAATTGAAGTGTTTGTTTTTTTGTAGCCCACATAAACTTAAACCTTATTTGGCCTGTGTTAGCCTTTGAGTTTGATGGGCATGCTCTAAGGGAACTAGAATTATTGACCTGAATTGGTTTTTCAATATAAAACTTGAAAAGCAAAAGCAAGAGGTCTTGACAAAATTGTTCAACAAATTTAGCTTGATATACATAAATGTTAATGCCCACTAAGAAAACATTACTGAATTGGATCTTTAACTGGAATGTCACATTGTAAACAGAACAAAACTTCAATTATCTTTTTGTTGTTTTAACCTAAAAAAAAGTTCTCATGCAATTCTTAATGCAGAATGCTTCACCTGTTTATATTAGTACAAGAGTTTAAACCTGTAGGAAATTCAACAAAAATTAAGATTAAAAAAAAAATGGCATCTTTACCTGTCCCATGCCTTCTTCCATTATCTTAGTGGTTAAATATTCACTCCAGCACTGCATACAAAACTTATGTCCACATTCAAGGCCAGTGAAATACTGCAACAAAATTAATACAGGGACTTTAAAAAGAGATTATCAGAAAAACATTACATTGTGACTTAAGGCTCCATTACTTCACATTTGTCATAGTGGCTAAAATGTCCAATTTGATAAGGCTCCTCAAATTAGTAACTAGGTGGTAAGTCTAGACATGAAAACACACTGAACAAAAACAATTAATGAGAAATGCATCTATAGTACATATTTATAATTTTTAGGCAAGATAAATAAGGTTGTATTAAATATAAGAATATGTCATGTACCAGTAAGCATATGAAAAGATGTTCAAATATCCTTAGCCACCAGGGAAATGTAAATCAAAACTACAATGAGACACCACTTCTGTCAGAAACCAATCAGTTTTACTGAGAGAGAGATGTTGACAGAAAGCCAGTAAAGCTGGTCAACAACCTTAATTGCTCTAACCATTCACCCTTTAGTTGAGACATTGTTAGCTGAAGCAGCCTCCACCTTGTCTGTCCCAAGTAAGTTTCTGTTATTTCCTGTCTAAGGGCTACATGTAAATTTTTATCTTGCCTAAGATGTTTTCCCCAAAGCCTCAATAAAAGGGATGGCAGGGCCAGAGCAGTATTTCTCCCACTAGAGTTGAACTACCACCTGGTCCCCCCATACCGCCAAATTGAATTTCTTCAAGTCTCTTTTCATTTGTGTGCGGCCCTTCTCCAGAACCCGAACCCTGAATTGGAACCCTTTCCATGAGGGACGTGAAAGAGATTCCTACACACTTCATACCTACTAGGTCAGCCATAAAAAAAAAAAAAAAAAAAAAAAAAGATAACAAGATTAACAAGCGTATATAGAAATTAGAATCTTCAAATACTGCCATGGGAACGTAAAATGGTGGAGGAACTTTGGAAAACATTCGGGCAGTTTCTCAAATTGAACAGAGAGTTACCATATGATTTAGCAATTCCACTGTAGGAATATACTCAAAAGAAATGAAAATATATTCACACCAAAACCTGTACACAAATGTTCATAGTAGCATTATCCATAACAGCTCCAAAGTGGAAACAATCCAAATGTTCATCAATTGACAAAATGTGAAATATATACATATAAGGGAATATTACTGAGCCATAAAAAGGGAATGAAGTATTGATGCATAATTTATACTAGTAAAAGGGAAATAATATGTTAATTAGACTGAGTCAACCAGCCATCTTCCAGATGTCCGACTTCTTTCCAGACAAAGCCACAGTGGTGGGGGCAGAGGCAGTTACGGGTGAATCAGGCCATAAAGGGAGAGTAGCTCAGGGCAAGATTAAGCTGGCAGGAGAAAGCAGTTGGGGATGAGATCAGACCTGCAAAGCAGAGACAGTTAAGGGGTGATCAGGCTGGCAGGGGTGTTAGAAGCCACCCATTGCCTTCTCTAGCAGAGAGGTGTGGACAAGGAACCCAGAAGGCTGGTCAACCTTGAAGCTCTGAAAGGTCAGAGCCAACCACCCACCTTTTAGTTGAGACAATGGTAGCTAAAGCAACTTCCACCTTTTAGTTTTATGTAAATTCTTGCTGATTGACTATTATTGGAATTGCCTGCCTAAAAGGCTATGGGTGTATCCCATAGTCTTAATAAAAGGGATAGCAAGGCCAGAGCGGGGTGGAGTTCTTCCTCTTGAGTTGGGCTCCTGGCCCCCAATATTTCCAAATTAATATTTTCTAGTCTCTTTCATTTGTGGACGGCCTACTCCAGAGCCTGAACCCTGAACCACGTGGGACCTGGGGGGAAGGAGGGGAGAGAGACACGACAATGATGACACAATGGCAACTGGTGCCCAACCTGGGGCACTTGCACAGGGGAGAGAAGTTAGGGGTGAGATCAGGCTGGCAGGGGAGGGCAGTTAGGGGTGATCAGGCAGGCAGGTGAGTGGTTAGGAGTCAGCAGCCCAAGATTGTGAGACAAATATTCAATTGGAGAGAGGGTGCAGGTTGGGCTGAGGGAACCTCCCCACCCTCATGCACAAATTTCATGTACTGGACCACTAGTATATAACATGAACTTTGAAAGCATTATGGTAAGTAAAAGAAGCCAGTCATAAAATACCACATATTGTTTGATGCCATTTATATGAAAGGTCCAGAATGGGCAATTTCATAGAAAAAAACAAACAAAAGATTAGTGATTGCCTAGTGCTGGAGAGGGGGGAAAATAAGACATGACTGAAAAAGGGTATAAGGGCCGGAACCGGTTTGGCTCAATGGATAGAGCGTCGGCTTGGGGACTGAAGGGACCCGGGTTCGATTCCGGTCAAGGGCATGTACCTGGGTTGCGGGCACATCCCCAGTAGGGGGTGTGCAGGAGGCAGCTGATCGATGACTCTCTCTCTCATCGATGTTTCTAGCTCTCTATCTCTCTCCCTTCCTCTCTGTACAAAATCAATAAAATATATTAAAAAAAAAAAAAAAAAAAAAAAAGAAAAAAAAAGAAAAAGGGTATAAGGTTTCTTTCTTGGGGTTATAAAAATATTCTAAAATTAACTCTGGCAATGGTTGCACAACTATGACTATACTTTTAATAGTGAACTGTATGATATGTGAATTATCTCTATAAAGCTATTATAAAAAATAAGTAGGCCAGCTGGCATGGCTCAGTGATTGAGTGTCAACGTTATGGACCGGGAGGTCACAGTTTGATTGCCAGTCAGGCCATATGCCAGGATTGTGGGCTTGATCCCCAGTGTAGGGAGAGCAGAAGGCAGGCAATTGGTGGTTCTCTTTCATCATAGATGTTTATATCTCTCTCCCTCTCTGAAATCAATAAAAATATTTTAAAAAACATGTCACACAAATATAGAACTTGATGGAGCGGCGCAGACTGTAGCAAACCTAGAAAATAAATATTATGGAAACCAAAGGATCTATTCAGAGAGCTAAGAAAATAGCAATATTTTGGTCTAATCATATTTGATTTGAAATATTAATTTGAAGATTGGCTAAATGAAGTATACTATATTCTATGATGAGATATGAATCAAGTACTTTAACATTAGAGTCTCTAGAGCAGTATATTTTTTAAAAGACAAAAATAGCAGTTACATTATTTTAAGAATATTTTATAATAGTCCTGGCTGGTGTGGCTCAGTTGGTTGTGTGTCATTCCATACACTGGTTCAATTCCCTGTTAGGGAACATGCCCGTGTTGTGTGCTTCATCCAAGGTAGGGGCATGCAGGAAGCAGAACAATGTTTTGTCTCACACGGGTACAAAAAGACAATATTTATATTTGCCACTAAATTATTTTTGAATGAGTAAGTAATATAGGCTCATGGTTAAAAACAATTATTTAAGAGTATGAGTTTATGTAGGAAAATAAGTCTCCTTCATCTTCATCCTTGGTCCTCCTCTCCTTCCTTACCCAAAAGTAATTGCTATATCTAAGATCTTAAATATCTTTCCAGAGATGTTCTAATGTACATAGATATATTAGTATGAGTACAACATGCTATTCTCAGTTTTAAAACATTTAAAAAATATATATTTTATTGATTTTTTTACAGAGAGGAAGAGAGAGGGATAGTTAGAAACATCAATGAGAGAATCATCGATCAGCTGCCTCTTGCACATCCCCTACTGGGGATATGCCCACAACCAAGGTACATGCCCTTGACCAGAATCAAACCTGGGACCTTTCAGTCCACAGGCCAATGCTCTACCCACTGAGCCAAACCAGTTTTAAAACACTTTTAACTAGAGGCCTGGTGCATGAAATTTGTGCACAGGGGCTGGGGGAGTGTAAGTGTCCCTCAGCCCAGTTTGCATCCTCTACAATCTGGGAACCCTCAAGGGATTTTGGACATCACTCTCACAATCCAGGACTGCTGGCTCCAAACCGCTCACATGCCTGCCTGCCTAATTGCCCCTAACTGCTACTTCCTGCCAGCCAGATCACCACTAACCACTCCTCTGTCAGACTGATCGACACCTAACTGCTCCCCTGCCAGCCCAATTGTCCCAACTGACTTCCCCTGCTAGCCTGGTCACCCCCAACTGCCCTCCCCTGAAGGGTTGATCGCCTCCAAGTGCCCTCCCCTGTAGTCTGGTCACCCACAAATGCCCTCACCTGCCAGCCATCTTGTGTTCACATGGGGGCAGCCATCTTTGACCCGATGGGGCAGCCATATTTGCGTTGGAATGACAGTCAATTTGTATATTACTTTTTAAAATTAAATATATATTTATTAATTTCAGAGAGAAATGGAGAGGGAGAGATGGAAACATCAATGATGAAAGAGAATCATTGATCAGTTGCCTCCTGCACACCCCCATTGGGAATCAAGCCCATAACCTGAGCATGTGCCCCTGACCAGAATGGAACACAGGACCCTTCAATCCACAGGCTGATACTCTATCCACTAAGCAAAACCAGCCAGGGCACATATTACTCTTTTATTAGATAGGATAAATTTATTGTTTTGCCTACTATGCTACTGCGCTGACTGTATGTACATCTTTGTGATATAATTGTATCTTAGGACAAATTTGTACAAATAAAATAGCAGGTATACAATTTCATAGACTATTATCAAATTTCAGCAATTGATAATGTTCAAGACAACTCATTTTCTCAGACTCATGTTAACATTGTATATTATTTAATTCCTTAATCTCTGCCACTGGAACAGGTGAAAATAAACCAACTTCATTAATTTTGATTTTTAATTTATTTAATTATAAGTGAAGTTTAAACATGTTAAGAGAGATTTAAAGCTTTTTTCTGTGCATCCTCTTTACCTATTTTGCCCATTTTTTCTATCTTTCTCCCTCTCCCATTTTTCTTAATGATATAGTGGGGATTTAACTTATTTAGAAAATAAGTATTTTCCTCCAGCTCACTTTTTTTTTTATTAAATATATTTTATTGATTTTTTACAGAGAGGAGGAGAGAGGGATAGAGAGCTAGAAACGTCGATGAGAGAGAAACATCGACCAGCTGCCTCTTGCACACCCCCTACTGGGGATGTGCCCGCAACCAAGGT